CCACAACAGTGAGAGGCCCGCGTACCGCAAAAAAAAAAAAAAAGTATAAAACAAATCAGTAAGTGGTTCTAAAAATGAGAAAAACTAACTGGAAACTATTCAGTGTTTAAGATGCTTCAGATTATAAACTTTTAAAAGACCAGGACTTTCAAGGAACCAGTAGAATGACTGTGTTCTCTTTAATAATTCATAATAAAAATGCTTCTTTTTTCTTTCTACCAATTCATGATACAGACTTTATGGAAGAAAACTTGGAAGCACTGTTATTTCCCAAAATAAAACTCGTGTGTGTGTGTGCATGTGTGTGTGTTTCAGGGCAACCACTGGAAATTATATATAGGTCCAAATAAAAAGAGTAAAATTTTCCCTATTTAATGTCATGTCCCAAAATAAAAACTTGCCAGAGAATAAACAAAGTAAGCTTTCCATGAATGCAGCTAAATTACATAAGCAAATTGTTATAATGTAGTTTAGTATATATATTTTTTTCCTTTTTCTTTCTATTTTTCCTTTTTTTTTGCTGACTTGACTCAGTTCTGTGGCCTTGGCTACTAGCTGGTCAGTTTCCTTTCTTCAGTAAATCCACATCCCACCACTTCTCTTCTAGAGCCCTCACACTTCTAGGTCATTATGCACCCACCCTAATTGCCCCAAAGTTAAGGTACCAGATGTCTTGAGACAGACTCTGTGCCCCAAAGTTAAGGTACCAGATGTCTTGAGACAGACTCTGTGCCCTAAAGCCTGAGAAATTTTTCTAATCAGTCAATCCACAAAGGGCCCTGGAAACCTAGCTACCTCCACCCTGCTTGGCCATACATACACTGCCCCCTACAATTCCAGCTTATTGTTACCCTGTTCTTGGTACAACCATCTATGTGCCCCTGCCTGGTGGCCTTTTCTCCTTTAGGGCTATAAGTAACAAAAACTGGCCCTCATGCAAGTGCCATCATTGTGTTGTGTCGCACTTTTCGATGGATCTTTAAATTTTATATAACAATCAGGTACCTAAAAGACTGACCTAAGAATCCACAAAACTTCTGTAAATTTATTTATAGACTTTATTAAAAGCCTTCAAATTTATTTACAAGAATGAATCATAAGTAAAATTTTCAAAGAGCAGTTAATATTATCTAATGGAAAAACCATTTTTTGCAAGTTAAATATTTCGTACAGTACACACAAATTTTAACTGTAAATGTCTTAAATTGTCAGTTATCTGTAAGAACTTTCAGAAAAAATGTAGAAATGGAACTTGGAACAAAGTCCCTCTGTTGCCTTTTAAAGAGACAAGCCTCCCTAAACCCTACCTCCTTCCCAATGACACATTTTTCTCCTCTCTTGGCTCACTGCTTTTAAGGCAATTATTTGTTTCCCAGGATAGACCCAAAACTCCATGAGGATAGTGTTGACATCTGCTTTGTTCACTGCTATATTCCTGGTGCCTGTCACAGTGTCAGCATATAGTAAATACTCAGTAAATATTTATAGAATAAATAAATGTTATCAGTTCTGAAAAACAATATACTCTATTTGTTAAAATGTGTCATTAAATGCTGAAGACTTAGGGTCCACATATACTTATAGACGCACACAGATGCACACACACACACACACACCCCTAGTGTTCTCAATTCTTGGGTAATATTCTTAATTTAATAAGATGACAATGTATATTGGATAAGACTATTTAAAAAATAATCTTGCATATTCTCTCTTTTTTATGTACTCAATAAAAACCTGATGCTATTAATATTTCTAAGGTAGCTGATAATTTATTTTTTACTTTGGGGATATTAACAGGAAAAGAAAAACTTATTAATGATTCTGGAAAAGTAAAAATTAAGGATTGATTTATAGGCCTCAATATATATTATACATCAAATTGGTGATTATCTCTGTTGACGTCTAGAAAGGAGTGAACATTTTTTTTAATATTTAGTTTTTTATTTTATCTTTGGCTGCATCAGGTCTTAGTTGTGGAATGTGGGCTCTCTAGTTGTGGCGCACAGGCTCAGTAGTTGTGGCATGCAGGCTTAGTTGCCCTATGGCATGTGGGATCTTAGTTCCCTGACCAGGGATCTAACCCATGTTCCCTGTATTGGGAGGTGGATTCTTAAGCACTGAACCACCAGAGAAGTCCCAGGAGTGAACATATTTAGCAGAGAAGTTAAATTATTCATTTATTAACTATCACAAAGTATTGCTAAGGCAAAGAGATTTGTTGTTGAGGAAGCTTTTGGTATGATGTTTGAGAAATCAGAATCTTCTAATTACTTAGGGTGTGCCTTTTAAGCAGAGGATATCTTTTTTTTTTTTTTTTTTTTTTTGCGGTATGCGGGCCTGTCACTGTTCTGGCCCCTCTCGTTGCGGAGCACAGCCTCCGGACGCGCAGGCTCAGCGGCCATGGCTCACGGGCCCAGCCGCTCCGCGGCGTGTGGGATCTTCCCGGACCGAGGCACGAACCCGTGTCCCCTGCATCGGCAGGCGGACTCTGAACCACTGCGCCACCAAGGAAGCCCAAGCAGAGGATATCTTTAATAATTTCTCAGAACATTTTCAACATCATAAAATTTTAATTAACAATTAACATTGTTCTTAGATCATTGCTATTGCTAAGCACTATGAGGAATCAGAAGGCTAATAAGTTGTTTTTTTTCCATCAATGGATTTTAAATCTAGTTGAGAGAAAACAAAAATGTATACTAATGAATGACATTTTTGTCTTTTGTCCCCCAAAAGACAAAAATGTCATTAAAGTAAGAGTTGAGTGAGTGAGCTCAATTAGGAAATTCATTATTCATTAATAAGGGAAGATCTGTGGAAATCTTCCAGGTGCATGTAAAACATGAATTGGCAAAGTTAGGGAAGCTTGCTGTGGTACCTGGGAAGCAAGCTGCCCCTGGAAAGAATCAGTAATTAAATGAAAACAAGCCAGGCAAAAAGCATCTTCCAGGCCTGCGATCCTGAGGAGCATTGATTGGTTTGAGCAAAATGTGTTAACTTTGTGGATACAGAGTCACTGAACACACCAAAGCGAAACTAAAAGGGAGAAATTAGTTTGAACTTTTAAAATGTGGGCAGAATTCAGAGGACAGAGAAAGGCTCATAGAGAAGATTAAATTAAATACCCTAGGGAGTAAGTAATCATTCGAGGTTTGTGAGAGAAATAGTTTTAAGTAATGAACGCATGTTTAAAAAGATAAAACTATTTGCTCTTGAGGGGATGGGACTATGGGTCAGATGCGAAGGAATTTTAAGGTTATTCTAAAGAGCAGATTTTAGATTTCAAAAATGACTAAAATTTCCGTTTGTATGTAAGAGTACATTTTAGGCATATATTTTTTTCACATCCAGTGTCCGTTTTAATGTTGTCTGTGTGTTGAGGTCTCAGGTATTTGCCACCAACTCTTACCTATCTCAGCAGGTATTTCTTTTTTAACATGTAAGAAATAACTAGAATATTATTAAGAAAAATAGATGTTAATATAAAAACCCCACAATTATTGGGCACTTAAAAATATTAGTAGTGCTAACTTGGACTTTAGCAAAGACCTACATTCCAATTGTTGGCTCTTTTAATAGTTGAGTAGAAAAACTTTCAGGGATGTTTTCTTCATTTTTCTCTACATTTTTATTCTGACAACTCTCTACTTTTGAAAATGCTTTATGCCTCAAGCGTTCTTGCCTATCCACTTAACCTCATTCGTAAAGTCAATTCCTAATTTTCAAGCTACCACTTATCATTTGACTGTTTAATCAAGGGGAAAAAAAACAATGACAACAAAAAACCTTTTCCTTAACCACTTGACACTTGTTGTTTATCAGTAAAGAACTGATGTCCTTTTTACATAATCAGAGAAGAGTTTACTTTCAAAATCATGGTTAAAATGTTTTAGATTGCCTGCTGGTAAAAAAATAAATAAATAAAAGAGAAATATCTATGATGACTTATTTTCCCTTTGAATATTAGACTCCATGTGACCCAATTTGCAACTTAGCTAGACTTTCACATTAGTGAAATTTGGGTTATTTAATACACTTAGAAATCAAAAAAATAGGTTAAGCTTAGAAGGACCCACATGTTGTCTTTGAATGCAAATGGTGTCTTTATTTACTGGGATTTCACAATGTCAACCAGTCAATCAGGTGTATCTTTAGTAATATACTTTAGTTAAAACATTCTTTAAAATTATTATTTAACTTTCTAAAATGTTGCAAAGTTATTTTCATTGGATTTCATGCTAAAAACACATGTTTATATGGAAAAACATTTTGTATAACCTTTACAGTATTTTTTTTTTTTTTTTTTTTTTGGCTGTACGTGGGCCTTTCACCGTTGTGGCCTCTCCCGTTGCAGAGCACAGCCTCCGGATGCGCTGGCTCAGCAGCCATGGCTCACGGGCCCAGCTGCTCTGTGGCATGTGGGATCTTCCCGGACCGGGGCATGAACCGGCGTCCCCTGCATCGGCAGGCGGACTTTCAACCACTGCGCCACCAGGGAAGCCCTACAGTATTTATTTTTAATGTTATATTTCAAGTAATACTTTTTATATTCAAGGATTTGATATGTAAGCATATATTTCAACATTGCACATAAAATTTTTGTACTTTTCACTATTTCTCATGAATATGAGTTTTTTTGTGGAGAAGTAGGACATAAATCAGTAATAATACATATGTCATGGAAAAAGTTCATCAGAAATGATATGTCATGTGTATATCTGTTTACTCATGTCTGTCTATTTATTTTTCTATCTGTCTGTATCTCTAGATATAAATGAAGGCTTAAGGAAAAGAGATAATTCTCACCTCAAGTAAAAGGAATTTTATTCCTCCTATGTTATTCTTAAAAAGATGGGGAATCATATCTTTGAATTGTTTACCTTAATACAATTTTCATGAGCAAACGAGATCACCAATGCACTTTTCCTCTAAGGAGATAATTTTAAATGAAAACTCTAACCACTTTCTTTCCTTATTTTGTCTCTTGTCCTCTGCAGATGGGCCTCTGGGCCCCCGAGGATTAGCTGAAGCTACAGAGATGTGCACTCAAGAGTGCTTGGTTTTGGGTCACTCTGATAACTGCTGGATGCCTCCTGGCTTGGGTCCCTATCAACACCCTAAATCACCTCTCTCAACCTTTGCACCCCAGAAAGAATGGGTCAAGAAGGACAAGCTTGTGAATGGGCACACCCTGACCAGAGCCTGGAAAGAAGATAGCAACAGGAACCAGTTCAATGACCGTAAGCAGTATGGTTCCACCGAAGGCCATTTCAACAATGGCAGCCACATGACAGACATTCCTCTGGCAAATCTGAAGTCTTATAAGCAAGCAGGAAGTGCTATTGAGAGTCCTAAGGAGCACCAACTCTAAAAAGAAAAAGGCTATATGGGACCTAATAACTTTAAACTAAATAGACATGTTAATACTGTGTGCGTCAGAGCTTTATGTATTCAATAGATCTCTACAACTATGCCCCTTATAGCAGGGATATCCATAACTTTGTGTTAGCACCATGGAGGATACAATGTTTTACCACATAAGAGAGAGAAGATAGTTCTACTAGCCATGTGATCTTGTTTACTAGGATTGATTAAACTCTCCAGAGGTCTCTCCATTGTGCAAATATCCTTTTTTTTTTTTTTTAACTGCATTTTATTTTGACCCTGGACTGCTGCTATGAACAATAGAATATGCATTTGGAGAGTAAGAAAGTTCCATGGATTAGAGTGACTGACAAACATATCCAGTTAGAAAATTGTGCTCTTTTTTGTTGATCTGTGCTGGGACTGCTATACTTGACATTATACTTCAAACGAAATTTAAAAAGATAAGCATTAAACCTATTGTGCTGTTAACAACATTAGTGGACACTTGTAAGTCAATCAGTGTTAAAGTATCTGTAAATATAAGCAAGCTATTATTAACAACTTTTGTGTACTTATACCGTTCCCCTAAAAAACGTTGTAGCATAATTCTGTTTTATGGTTGCTTCTTTTCTTTTTTTGTTTGCCTCTTTGTTGCTATTTTTGTTGTTTCTTTTAGTGAAGTGTTTCTGAGTCTGTCTTGACACACATTGTTCAAAAGATCTCAGATACTTGTAGTGAAAATAAAGGTTCTGGAATCTCGCTTCTTTTATGATAGCTTATGATGCTGGAATTCTATAAGAAATAAAGATAAAAAATGAAAACTTTATATAAAAAAAGGACTTCTGCAAAAGCTTGGAAATTCAGAACCTATTTTCTTGACATCCTTATTTTCAAAGTAGGCAAAAGCAAAATCACTTATTTAGTAGCATTAACTGAGATAGTAATGGGAAAGTGTTATCCTTCAGAAAGTGATATATCCTGTGCTTGTCACTCATGCAAAACTAATGTATTAAATTAGCATATATTGAAGAAAAATTACTATTCAAAAATAGTTTCAATTGGGAAAATGTGTGTCTACAACTTTGTTGAAATGGCAGTTTGTGTTGATCCTCATATACAATAATGTTGTTGTAACACAAGTGTTAGACCATAGTCACAAACTATTTAATGTGTTGTGCCTTCATGATGTAACAGAACATTCTCCAGGTAGGCTAGTTGGGGGAAATTAAGGGATAGATCTCTAATTATTGCTGTTTAACTGTTTGTTATCATAGTTGGTCAATGCCGGCAGGTACCAGCATCTTGTCACTTAGGTCAAACCAACAGAGTGACAGCTAATGTTAATAAGATCTCAGTTGCACGTGCAAACAAATCCAAATTCGAGCATTCTTAGGAGGTTTTTGTTAAGGCATGACAGATGATTTAAACAAATAAATAGCATGCAACAAAATGTCTTTATTGAAAGAAGTGAAAGTTATCTTAATGCCACCATTCAACATCAGTTTAAAAGTAAAAAATAAATAAATAAATGGTTTGCTAATCTGATAGGTAATTTGTTCTTACCAAAAATAAAATTACTTTGTAAATAGCAATTCACATTTTTCCACAGTATAATGGAAGATAATGGGTAGGAGTGCATAGCTTATTGCAGTACATATTTGTCGGTTTGTGAGGGGTGTTTGATGACTTTGACACAATAAATATCTAAACAATTATCCTTGTTACTGCTTTGCCAGTTCTACATTATTTACAATTATTCAGCTCTTGCAATAAATGTTCTGAATTCCTGACTGCAGTGTGTTAATTTGTGGTCAAAATCCAAAGTGATGATTTTTACTCTAATTGTTAGATAAGTATATGTTAATAAAAGTTAACTTTTAATTAGAAATCAAAGAAAATTTATTAGGGGTTTAATAATACCTACGTTCTGAAAATAAGATTCCAAGTTAGGGTTAAATTCCCCTAATGATCTATGAAATCATTTTCTTGGGAAATTCAGGGAGAAAGTTCACCTTCTAGTCAAGATTCATACAAGTTTCATCGAAGTGAAATCCCAAGTCAGAAACTGGGCAGGTAACATTGGTTATTTAGTGAGATTATCTTCTTCACTCTTAGTATCCTTTAATAAGATTTCATGAAACAAACTCTCAAACATTTCATTGCTGGCAGAAGAGGACTATTCAGGGATTGAGGCCTTGAAACAAGGGCCAAAACTTCAGCTATATTTATTTCAGGTTAGGAAAATAGGATCAGAAACTGCAAAGGATAATAAGACACACTCACACATATGCCATGTGTTTATATTCACCACAGAGCAACTGGATCAGAGTTTTAGGGTAAGTAAACAGGTCTGACTCTTTCTCCACAGCTTTTTGAAGAGTTGTAAAATAAGACTCAGGAGATAGTGACATGGAGGTAAAGATATTTGCTTGGACCAGCGGCTGTATGTGAGACCCTAACCCCTCACCTCTGAATAAGCCAGATTTATCCAGTAGTCTGTGGCGCCACCCTCCTTTCCTTCACAGGGGCAGAGCCTGCCCTAGGACACAGAGAGTGAATGAATCCTGGAAACGGGCCACTCTTGAAAACAAAAATCCATCCCTGCTCAGTCCCTCCCTCCATTTTTTACCAGTCAGATGTCATTCCTTTCTGCCTTGAAGAGTGGAAGATGAGAGAAAATAAAATAATTATGCTCCTACCTTTTCTTTCCGTAAAAGAGTGGAATAGAAATGCCTTCCTCCAAACCAGAAGTTTGGAAAAGAAACTCCCCATCCCACCATATTTCTTCTAATAAATATGACAATATCTACTCTTATCAAGGCATTCAGTTATATGCTCTGTAAAAATTAAAATAAGTAACATTACAAACCAAACTGAAATATTTACTCATTAAGTAAATAATACAGTCATGATAACTAATCTTAAATATCACCCACATTATTTTATTGCGTAGACATTGAATATTATAAATCACATTTACCTGGAAATCAAAGGCAGTTACATTTCCTAGGAAAGCACACATATGAAATGTATAAAAATAATTACTTTTAAAGTGATTATCAAATGCTACAGGCTATATGCCACACATTTTCTAAGGTAGATATAGAAATAAATTTATTAAGCTAAATATGACCCGTTTGAATGAACATTTCTACACATATACTAACATAAAATATATATTTAAATAATGGTTATTCATTAACAGACAACTGAGTAGTCATTTTGCTGCACTGATGCTATCCAGCAAATCTCTTTCAGCATAGAGTGGTGTTCCCTCCCCCAGCACCATCATTCCTTAGCTAAAAGTAAGAAATGCAGCTGAGGCCCAGAAGCCATTCTAGTATATATTAAACTCTCTTGAACAGAAGCCAGGAATGGCTAATTATTATTAATAAGGAGTTTTGGAAGCCAGGGATAAAAGGGATGCCTTGTCAGTTTCAATTCTAATGTGGATGCCAGGGTGTTACTTTGTAAGAGGGCAAACCAAACTATGAAAAGGAGGAGTGGTGTTAGGAGTCTAAAAATGCTTCATTGTTCCGCTTTGTTTTAAATAGAGCTGACTGCCTCTCCCTAAAGGAAGCTCCTTCACTGGTTCTTTTGAAAGAGATCACTTTCAAATTCTCCCAGTGTTCTTAAAGGCATAGTGATCACATAATGATTTCTCTATATACTGTTCTCCCCTTATCACAACTACCAATCTAAATTTTAGTACACATCAACCAGGTTTTCCACTGTTGAAAAAATATAAAATTAATCTCATAGTAATAAAATACTTTCGTAAGACACACAGTATTTAAAGCACGGCTATCATAATAATATTTCATTCACATTTAGTTCACTCAGTTTTCATTTATATTAATGAGTATTCCAAAGATATCAATTTTCTATTATCGTGACGCCACCATTATCCATTTTAAAATATTAAATAAGGTCTATATTTTCTTCAAAAATGAATTTTATTTTCTTATTTCTTAGACTTCTTAAATAGTGCACCACACAATGAATCGAGTTCTGTCCACATTTTTGTTATCCTAAAATACCACATCATTCTTGAAGCTTTATAATGAAAAGCTCTTTTTAAATTAAATTTTTCATTTTTTACCCTAAATTTTTCTTTTTAAAGTTCTATGGTTGTGTTCTTAGAGTACATACAACACAATTATTATTGGACTCATTCAATGCCGAACATTATAAAGTCCACATATTTGCAAATATGCTCAACTACAGTAATATTTTTTTTTTTTTTTTTTTTTTTTTTCTGTTGTGGCCTCTCCCGTTGCGGAGCACAGGCTCCAGACGCGCAGGCTCAGCGGCCATGGCTCACGGGCCCAGCCGCTTCACGGCATGTGGGATCTTCCCGGACCGAGCCACGAACCTGTGTCCCCTGCGTCGGCAGGCGGACTCTCAACCACTGCGCCACCAGAGGAGCCCTCAACTACAGTAATTTTTTGGATACTATTACAGTACTATTTAAACTCAATCCCTGTATTTTCTGGATCTTTGTAGTTCTTTTTTTTTAAAAAAACATTTATTATGATATAACTGGCATATCACGTTGTATTAGTTTCAGGTGTACAACATAATGATTCAATATTGGTATATACTGCGAAATGATCACCGCAATAAAACTAGTTAATAGTCATCACCCCCCACGGTTACATTTTTTTTTCTCCTAATGAGAACTTTTAAGATTTACTCTCTTAGCAATCTTCAAATATATATTATTATTATATTATTATTATTAACTTTGGTGACTGTGCTGTATATTATCTTTGTGGTTCTTCTACCAAGAACTATTTTTTTCACCTCCAAATTCACCATTAGTTTGGCATCATCGACATAATCCTGAATAATGATACTCAAAATAATAGTATTGACCTTGGAACTCTAACACAATCAATCATTGATAACAAGGTCCTCAGTAAACATAAACTAGAACCTGTTTAGGTTACATGATTAGGAAATGGTAACAAAATGCATTATTTGCAGAAAACTGAAACACTCCACTCTTCATATTTTTAACTCTTCTCTCCTTTTCTGTCTACTTAGTGGAATTTGTCTATTTTCCCCCAGGGGAACTCCAGACTGTTTTCAATGTTTCAAGTACAAAATTACTATGTTTCCAGGAACTTGCTGGTTTGGAAGAAACTTCTTATGAAGCAAATAATTTTCATTTTTATCCAGCGATTTTTTTTTTTTCATAGAACCCATTTTCCCTTCTGTACTCCTGAAAGTGTGCACACTCCATTGACTGTGGTATGTGGTCCCTGCTTTTACAGGTATTATTTCCTCTTTGACACTTTATGACTTGAAGTTCCCACCAAGCCTCTCTTATGCCCTGATGCGTTCTCTGTACATTGTCCACCCCAGCACTGTTCACCCCACCAAGAAGAGGCTTTTTATGGCCATTGGACTTATGGAAAAGTCTAAGATGGTATCAGCTATCATTTAAAAAGCACATCTCATTTCTACCAGAAATAACTTTTACATTGATTTTTTCCCCCAAAAAATCCATACATCAAAGAAAAATAAAAATAACAGAAAAATTACAAAAAAAGACATAAAATTGAGGCAAAGGGATTATGTGTGTCTATGTTTATATAAATTCATGTAACCAGTTCTGCATACTTTCCAGGCTTGGGCCATATATTTGTCTCTAAGATTACAGGGAGTGAAAGCAAGATAAGCAGAAAAGCACTCCATTTATCAGTGAAATAAATAAAATATATTTTAAATTTGTTGTGAATAACATTCTCTCTTTTTTTAATTTTCTCCAAAGTCTGATGACAAATGGACCATTAGAAATAATAATTTTGAACAGGCTTATTTCTTCAATGTTTAGCATTTTAAAATCATATTTTAAGTAAATCATGACTATCACTATATAAACTATATGAAATTCTATGTAAAATATACTTTTCTCCTTCACTTTTAATAATATTTTTCAATGTTTATACATCACTAAAGTAATCCTTTTCCACTGTTTGGAAAACAGCATAAGAGTATCATCTGTGCTGGTCCCCAGACCACTCACATCACCAAGTTCCCCATCACCATCTAACTCTCCTCTCTACACTATAAAAGGGACTGCTTCCCTTAGGAAAATCTAGCATTTCAAAAGAAGAAAATAATTTCCTAGGCTGCCACAGCCAAGAGGACCAAATCTCTATAAAACAAAACATATCAACCTCAGTAATATGCCCTCATTCTCCCTTTGTTTAAAGCATCCATCATAAAATTCAGTTCAGGATCTAAAGGGCCACTGTCTCTGGATATGGCCAAGGTTACAAAAGACTGA